TGCAATGAATATCTTCATGTTGGAGCCTCTGCACACATGGATGTGTATAAATTGGGAAAAATCTTCAGAGTAACTCTAAAGGATCAAAGGCTTATCTACCTGAACCTTTGTATTAAGTACTTCCAAAGAGTCATTCTACTACAAAGAGCTCACGAAAATCAATGAAAAACAACAAACAACCCTATTAATAACTGGGTAAGTGACATGAACAGAATCTTTTCTCATGAGGACAAATAGCCAACAAACACATGAAAAAATGCTCATCATCTCTCACTATCATAGATAATGTAAATCAAAACCACTTTGACATATCACCTAATCCCAGTGAGAATAGCCCACATCACAAGGTCACAAAGCAACGGATGCTGGCGTGGGTGCAGAGAGAAGGGAACACTCATGAACTGCTAGCAGGACTGCAAATTAGGACAGCCTTTATGGAAAGAAGTATGGAGCATCCTTAAAGATCCTGAAATCCCATTAATAGGTATCTATCCAAAAGAAAAATTCATTTTACCATAAGGATATTTGCACTCAAATGTTTATAGCAGCCTAATTCACACTTGCAAAGATGTGGAACCAATTAAAATACCCTTCAGCACATGAATGGATTAGTAACTGTGGTATATAAAGTATCTTCTGTGACAATCTGGATGGATTTGGAGAACACGCTCCTAAATAAGGTATCATGGGAATAGAAAAACAAGCATCACATGTGCTTAATACTAAACTGAAAGCAGTAGATTAGCAACTTCATGCTCACTTGAGAGAAAAAGTCAATGAAATTCAAAAAGGGGAAAAGGGGGAGAAAGTTTGGCAAGTTTCCACCCAAATGGAACAAGGCCCAGGTGTTTTGCAGGCTTTCTTGGTGAAGGAAACAACTAGAACTCTAACTAACTCAAATCTAAAAATGCAGACAATGTAACCCTCATATTAACCTGACTTCTTTTTTATTAAATCATAGTTGTGCACATTAATGCTATCAGACTTTTTTAATGTGCCAGAAAAAGAGTGCTTCTCTCCATACTCCTACCCATAAAAGAAAATTATATCTCATTATATTTTTAAATGTATATTTCTTCTATACATTTAATTCATCATCATCATTTTATATTAAGTCATTTTTAGTGCCTTTTCTGTGAACTATGAAATGTCTGCTAATGTCCTTTCTCATTTTATCACTATTACTTGGTATGAATTAGACATATATTTTAAAAATTTGCCTCTTTTCTAACATAGTTAATACAGGTTCTGTAGGTTCGTTCTTAAGTTGACTTTGCAGTTTTTTTTTTTTTTTGGCTGGGGCTGGGTTTGAACCCACCATCTACAGCACGTGGGGCTGGCACCCTACCCTTTTGAGCCACAGGCACCGCCCGATAATACAATTTTTTATACTTGTTTGTTTGAATTTCATCTATGGACTATTTGCCAGGCCAAAATGGCATTGTCATATCAGATTATTTATGGCTTCTTTATTTTATACCTTGCTTTAAAAACTCTTTCTAAAAGTAGGTTTTTAGTTCTCTCCTGTTTTCTTTAAGTATGTTTATACTTTTAATATTTATGTTTACTCTTAGATCCACCTAACATTTATGTATAAGTCAGCAAGGTGACACTGTTGGAAAGTATAAGAGATTGATCACCAGATCAGAGAGGGAAACTCTCCCTGAACCTACCACCATATACACCAATCAGACCAATATAAGGCCTCTGTTCCCAAAAAAAAACAGAGAGAGAGAGAGACTGATCAAAAGACTGAACTTTAGAGTCAGTGACATTGAAGTCTGATACGTCATTTTCTGGCTACATGAACTTGAGCAATCATTTAATCTCTCTGGCTTTAGCTTTCTCATCTGTGGAAATGGACAAATAACATGCACACCTTGCAGGACTAGTCTTTGACTTACAGAGAGGAAAGTTTTCAGCACATAATTCAATAATTGTTCTATTGATATTAGCTGCTCACATTACCATGATGAGGATTAAGTGACCAAGCCCACCTGGGGTCAGAACCAAATGTCCCAGTTCCCAGGCTGGCGTCCTTTCCTCCCCAGCCGCTTCCCTCTCAGGGGTCCCCTCCTGGGTCAAGATGGGTTCCAGGGAGTGAAATCTCTGTACATGCAGATCTACAGGTGGCAGAAGGGTGTCAAGGTCCAGCCAAGGCCTTCCTGTTTACCAAAGCCCTGAGTTTAAAAGGAAATCGCTTGTTCTATGTCTGTAGTTGCTGACACAGCCGTCATCAACTCCCGTGTAACCTAGGAGCTGAGGATACCTGCGTAGTGAGGAAAGTGCTGAAGATCAAGGCAAGGGCAGAATACTTGTCCCCCAAGCTTCTCCTAAATAAATTTTGCATTATTAAATCTATTTGGTTTGTCCATTTTCAGCTCTCTTTAATAGGTTGTTTTGTAATATAAAAGTGTTGTATTTCTATCAAAAACTATTGTACAGGATATGGAGCTGCTTAAGTGAAAGTCCAAAGTGCGCCTCATCCCAAAGGAAAGCACTGTGAGGTTCGGCGCCTGTGGCTCAAGTGGCTAAGGCGCCAGCCCCATATATCTAAAGTGGCAGGTTCGAATCCAGCCCAGGCCCGCCAAACAACAATGATGGCTGCAACCAAAAAATAGCCAGGCGTTGTGGTGGGTGCCTGTGGTCCCAGCTACTTGGGAGGCCGGGAGGCTCACTTGAGCCCAGGAGTTGGAGGTTGCTGTGAGCTGTGATGCTACAGCACTCTACCCAGGGGAACAGCTTGAGGCTCTGTCTCAAAAAAAAAAAGCACTGTGAATGCCAAGCACCCTCAGACACCCACCTCTGTCCTCAGAAGTACCATGCATCTGCCTGAGCACAGGCCACCAACTTGTGATCCTGTCGCATTCCTGCTGATCTGCTTTGATTCTCCCGTTAAACCAGTTGTGACATCCTGCTGCTTCCCTCATCAATTAGTGAACAAAATAAAAGTATCCTTGGGGCAGCACCCATGGCTCAGTGGGTAAGGTGCTGGCCCCATATACCGATGGTGGTGGGTTCAAACCCTGCCCTGGTCGAACTGCAACAAAAATGTAGCCGGGCGTTGTGGCAGGCACCTGTAGTCCCAGCTCCTTGAGGCAGGAGAATCGCCTAAGCCCAGGAGTTGGAGGTTGCTGTGAGCTGCGATGCTACAGCACTCTACCGAGGGTGATACAATGAGACTCTGTCTCTACAAAAAAAAAAAAAGTATCCTACATCTCAGTCAGCCATGCCACTCGGTGCTAATCACACGTTTGAATATACAATTCTCGATACAAAAATGGACACTAAACCTACGTGCTCTGCTTAATGTAGGGCTTGAAAAAATAGCCCTTATTTCTGACGGGAATGATAGGACAGCCGGGCTTGCGAGAGACCACCCTCAGACGCCAAAGGGGGAAGCTTCCTAAGGTAGTTTCACGGACAATTCTGGTGGAAATGATGTTTGTCTTTCTCTGGGCCAGCGATGTAAGAGGGGTCATCAAGAAATAAACTGGTGTTTTCTGCTAAACAGACAGGAACTGAAAGGGTCCGGCCCTTTACTGTCTACTTCTGAAAGCACAGTTGTGGCTTCCTTCCTGAGTGCAGTCCGCACAACGTATTTCCACCACTGTGGGAGATGATGACCCTCGCCAGGTAATCTAAGGGCACTGGCCCCCACACCCTCTTAAGAGCAGAGGCAGAGGAAGTAGAGGGGCAGGTGGAGGGGGCTAAAAGAGAAGGACCCCCCTTCCTCCCCTGGGGTATAAGGAGGTGGCCACAGGGACTGCCCAGGGCCATCTCTCTGAAGGAGCCCTGAACAGGCTCACCAACTGTCAGTCCCCTTTGGGCCACAGGAATGTGACAGGACAGCATGGGAGAGGCAGAACAGAGACTGTAATTTAGCCACAGGAGGATCCTTTCTGGGTGGGGTCAAAAATTCTGGGACCTCACAGGGGAGGGCTCAGAAGTGATAACCCCAAGCCCTTCCTTTGACATTCTCAGGTGCCAGGACGGATCCAGACCTGGAGCCCAGTTCCTTTCTCTGGCCCAGGGCTCCCCTATATGCCCTCCTGTTGCCCATTTTGCCAATCTACTGGTCCTTCCACATTTTCAGCATATCCTTATAAACATATGATCACACAGGTGTCCTTAAATTTTGGAGGCTGCTTTTCTTTTACAAAATACAGATTGCATTGTATTCAGTTTCCTGAATCTTACTGATGGCAATTCATGCGTTTTGCTTCTTGAAAACTGAAAATTTCTCCCAAACAAGCAAAACATTTGTGCTGTTAGGCCTCTTAGTAGTCCCTAGTAGGAGATACTCCTCAGTTTCTTCGATCATCCCAAACTGATGGGCACCTCCTCTTTTGTCACAGGGCTTTCCTTAGTACAGTGCTGTCACGAACACGGTTTCCTAGGGGCCTGCAGAGCCTGAGCAGCACATGCCATGATCTGCCAGAGCTGAGCCCCAGGCAGACAGAGGAGGGCTCCAGGGCTCCTTCCCTGTCCTGTTCAGCACAGCCAGAAGCCCAGACCACAGCATTCTAGTTCTGACCCCTCCTCCACAGGTCAGTGCAGGGACTGTCAGGACACCTCTGAGTTCCAGGCCAGGAGGACTCCTCAACCCCTGTTCTCCCGGAGGCAAGTACTTTACCCCTCTGCATCCCTCTTTCTAGGCAGCCCCAGGCTCCCTAGGTTTCCCTGCTGATGCAGCAGAAGCCCCCTCATCTCCTGGGGGAAGGTCCTCTTAACCCAGCCAAGGATACCAGAGTTCTGTGTCCCCAGCCTCCTGGCCACCAAAAGACCATTTCATTCTTCCAGGTTCCTCCAGGAGTCTAGCCAAATAAGCTGCATTTGTAAATTTTGGAATGGCTTTTGTAAAAGGAATTTAAATTTGTAAAACAAAGGAATGGCTTTCTTTTTTTTGTTTCTCCAAGGCATCAGAACCTGAACAGCCCTCCCAGTGGCCCCAGCCCCACACAATTGCTCTCCCTTCCCAAACGACCCCAGCTACTCACTCAGGAGGAGACTGATGAACCCCAGGACACTGGAGACCCAGCAACGCGGGCAGTCCCATGAGCAGGGCCCCATGATAGGCTGCCTGCGGCCTGGTCAGCTAAAGAGGAAAAGGAGAAGAAGCAAGAATAGTTTACACAGGCTTTCCCCGGGCGGGACTAGCCACTGACTGGGGAAGCAGCCCATCAGTCTGGAGAAAGAGCCATTCAGCTCAAAACCCTGCAGTCACAGCCACCCTCTGTCTCAAACGCACCCTCCCCTGATGCCTGTCTGCTATCCTAGGCTCACAGAGCTGCCTCAGAAGTCACTCTTACAGCAGAACTGGGCCAGGACCCTCCTGAGCTTGAGGCTTTCCTCTGTCCATACCCCACTTAATAAATCAAAGTCCTTTTCTCATTTTTCAAAAATATCAACTATCTACTGCCTTAGCAAGAAGCTTGCAGCAAAACAACAAGCTTTTTCTGGAGACTGTTAACTACCCACACTCTCTGTAAGGATGGTCAGCCTTTCTAGGAAAATAACAGAAAAATGATTAACTCAAAGTTTTTCAGTAAGAACAAAACACAGCAATCCCTCAGCCAGCTCTCTTTCTCTTGACAGCAGCCTCCCTACCACCATCACCCCCCCAACAAGGATTTCTATTTTCACAGCCATAGAGTAGCAGCCAAAAAGGAAATGTCAATTCTTTCTCTTTATGGAAACCTCCTGAATTCAGCTGCAATAAGTTTTTGTCCCCTACCCCACTGAAATTCAGCTGGCCACGTGACCTCAACTGTGGGCGTTCCTTCTTTCTTCCTTTGGGAATATCCCACCTTTTCTTGCTCTCTTCTCTCTCTCTCTTTCCCTACTCTCTTTCCTCTCTGGCTCTTCCTCCTAAAATGAAGTCTAAACATTTATATCCTGACCTTGGCCCACAGAAATTCTTCCTTGGGCCAACCCCCGTTGGTCGTTCCCATTTTATCACTCCTATACAAATATCAGGTAAATATCAGCATTTAGCCTCTGCTGGCAGCCATATGGCTCCCTCAGTCAGCACTAATACCAGTCATCCTCTCTGCACACTCACACCAAAGCCAAACTCCACAGAGGCTGGCAGGCTTGTGGCTCGATGAAATAATGGCTTTTCCCCTGAGCTTCTGCCAGCCCTGCCCCTTCACTCTGGCCACAGCTTCATCTGCCCGCAACACACCACCACCTACTGAGGCTCAGCCCCGTCTCTTATCTCCTGTTACCCTGGGTAGCTGCACATCTCCCCCACTGCTGGGCAGCACCACCTTCTCCTCCCCACTGAGGCTTCACTGGTGGCTGTCCTGGCAGAACACCCCCAAGGGGGATCTGCAGGCTGATCCCATGACTGTAAAAGGTCACCAGCTACTCAAAGGACAATGTCTGGATTCCTGACCAGCAGCTCAGGACTCATTCCCCGACATCACCTCTGGTCTCCCGTCTCATTTAGTGGCCTCAAACAAGTCACCTGGAGTCCAGTCTGTCCTCATGGCCAAAACTGTTCTGCAGATTCCCAGAAAAAAGAACATTCAACACTGCCTTGATCCCCCTTCTCCACCTAGTCATGGAGAAAGTCATTTCAAAAAGTGGTTAAATGTGTTCCTCAGTGAGAAATTTCTCACATGGTATCTAGATCCTAGAACCTTCTCTGGTGACATATGGGACGAGATAGGATGCCTGTTTCCTGATGTGGAAGGACAGTCAGGTGTCCAGGAAAGGAAGGTTAGAGAGAAGCTATGAATTGTCTTTTCCCTGACTTGTTGCCCGTGGAAAAAGCAGAGCCACCAGCCCAGCCCTGCAGGGTCTATGGCAGAGTGTGGGGGCAACCTGGAAGTGGGCAGGGGAGAGAACCAGATAGCACAAGGCAGACTAACGGCCTCACTGCCCACCTTCCCTCCTCTTCTATAACTCCACTGCCCAATTCTTGGTAAAAGAAAAATAATAACAAGATAATGGGTGGCTCATTTAGAAAGATAAAGTTACAGGCACTATTTACTGTCCTCATGATCTGAAGAAGAGAAAAACTGGAGGTTTTAGAGTAACTAAATCCTTAAGAGGAAAATCTAGGGAGGAGATGTCCAGACAGACTTGGAAAAGCTCTGACAGATACCTGGGGACCTGTAAATCCAAACATAGGAATAGGGCGGTGAGAGCCCCAATCCTCTCCTCTGGCTGACTTTGAGGCTGTACACAGCAGGAAGTGAAGTCAAAGGCAGACTTACCAACTGCCTGCAAGACTACCACAGGCCAAGTTGACTACGCACAGAGACCCAGCAGATCCTTAAGGGGCTTATCATTCTGGCCATTTAGTGACACCTCTGCCCAACAACAGCTGGACGCTAAGCTAACAGAGCAGACAGTGGGAGGAGAGAGGGTATTTGGTGAGATCTCAGCTAATGTGCACAGTGTAAGGGTATATTTCAAAATAACTAAGAGTAAATTTTAAATGTCTTACCACAAAAAAAAAACTAAGCAAAGTGATGTTTACATGAATCAATTTGATTTAAGCATATCACATTGTATATCAAATCATCACATTGCACCCCATAAATGTATACAGTTATGGTTTTAATTAAATTAAAAAATAAATAAATGTATTCAGAGAACTAAAGAAACCCAAGTATGAAGACCTAAAGTATAAGATCAATGTAACATCAAGTAGAGAATATCAATATAGATAGAAATTATAACATAGAACCAAATAAAAATTACAGAATTGAATAATGTAACAATAAAAAATGAAAAAAAAAAACACTTAGAAGGGCTCAACAACTGATATGACCATGCAGAAAAATAATCAGCAAACTTAAAGTTTTGTGAATTTAAATTATCTAGTCTAAGGAATAGAGACAAGAAACATGAAGAAATATAAACAAATCTTCAGACACATGTTGGACACTATCAGCCATACCAATATATGTATAATGAATATCCAGACAGAAGAGAAAGAGTAAAAGAAATGTTAACAGCCAAGTATCCAATTTTTTTCCTGCATTCTTAAGGTATAATTGACAAGGGGAAAAATGTTAAGTATTCAAGGAATACAAACACCACATTTGAGCTGATTACCACAAATTAATTATCAACACATCCATCACCACACGTACAGTAACTGGGGGTGAGGATCAGACTCTTAATACTGCACTCAGCTTATGTCAGATAAATAATGGTATGGTAGGATTAGCCTTAATCTATGTCACCACGCTATGCATTAAATACCCAGAATTTATTGATCTTATCAGTGAACATTTGTACCTTTTGACCAACCTCTCCCCAGCCCCTGGCAACCACCATTCTACTCTCTGCTTCTGAGATCAGTTGTTACAGATTTCACATATAAGTGATCATTCTGTGTTTTTCATTGTGGGTCTGGGTGATGTTACTTGGCATGAAATCCTTGTATATCTATACACTACATTTTCTTTATTCATCTGTTGACAGATCCCCAAGTGGTTTTCATATCTTTGCTATTGTAAATGGTGCTGTAATAAATATGGCTGTGCAAATATCTTTTTGAGATGGATGTTGATTTCACTTTCATTGGAAATAGACCCAGAAGAGGGATTATTGGTTGTTCCATCATTAGTCTTTTGAGGAACTTCCATACTGTTTTTCATAATAGCTGGACCAATTTACATGCCCAACCACAGTGTACAAGGGTGCCCTCCTCTCCACACTCTCTCACCAGCACCTGTTATCTCTTGCATTTTTTATAAGAGCCACCTGACAGATGTGAAATAACAGCTCATGGTGATTTGGGTTTGCATTTTCCTGATGATGAGCAATGTTGATCTTTTCATATACCTGTTGGCCATCTGTATATCTTCTTTGGGAAAATACCTATTCAAGGCCTTTGCCCAGTTTTACATTATTTATTTTGTTTGTTCTTATTGAATTATATGAGTTTCACATTTGGGGGATATTAACCACTTATCCAATGGTTTGCAAATATTTTCTCCAAATCCACTTCGTTTATAATGTCCTTTGCTCTGCTTAGTAACATAGAAACTTTGTAACTTAATATAATCCCAATTATTCATTTTTGTTTTGGATGACCATGCTTTGGGTGGCATATCTAAAATACCATTGTGAAAACCAGTGTCAAAGAGCTTTTTCCCTGTTTTCTTTTACTTTTATGGGTTCATGTGCTACATTTAATTCCATAATGAACTTCAAGTTAGTTTTTGTATGAATACAATTTCTTTCTTTTGCACATGGATATCACATTTTCTAAGCACCATTTGTTGAAAAGACTATCCTTTCCCCCATTGTGTATTTTTGGTGCTTTTTTCAAAGATCAGTTGAACTTGCAGATATGTGTTTTATTTCTGGGGTTGGTATAAGCCAAGTGTTTCAATTACTAGAGTTTTGTCATTGAGTTCTGATTACCAGAGTTTGACTACTAGAGTTTGTCACTACTAGAGCTTGAATATGATTTGAATATAGTCATATAGTTTGAAACAAGGAAGTCTGATGCCTCTAGCTTCTTCTTGCTCAAATTTGCTTTGGCTATTTATTGAAATTTCCATAGGGATTTCATTGAATCTGTAGATGGCTTTGAGTAATATGGACATTTTAATAATATTAATTAATTCTCTAGTGAATGATCACATAATTATCTTGCCATTTATTTTTGTGGTCTTCCATTTTTCATCAATATTTTACAGTTTTCAGTATACGGATCTTTTGAATTTATTCCTACATACTTTATTCTTTTTGGAATCTTTTCCTAATTGGGGGAGAGTGTAGTTCATTGTTAGTGTATAGAAATGCCACTGATTTTTGTATGTTAATGTCATATCCTGCAACTCTACTGAATTTATTTATTACTTCCCAGAGCTTTCTGCTTCAATATTCAGGGTTTCCTATACATAAGAACATATTATCTGCAAGCAGGGATAATTTTACTTCTTCCTCTTTTACTTAAATACTTTTTGCTGACTTTTCTTGCCTAATTGTTTTGACTAGCATTTCCAGAATTATATTAAATGGAGATGATGAAAGTGGGTATCTTTGTCTTGTTTCTGATCTCAGAGAAAATGCCTTTGTCTTTTTACCATTGAATATGACA